TGATAGTACATTCCATAATAATTATTACCATTTTCAGTATTCTACATGTATTTATTGCTCTTAAATTTGTGGTCAAATAGGGCGCTTTCTTTTATTCAGCGATGGATCCATCGATGACCAGTCTATCTTTGTCTAGCTCATAGAAAAATCGGAATGGCTGTCTCATAATGCTAGCAGCAGATGGATTCCTTGCTGAATAAAAGAATTCGCCCATACATTGTTCATACTAGCGAGATTCTCAAAATTTCACACTACAGAATATATAATGTATTTATTCTGGCTGTTCATACTACTGGGAGGTTCACAGAACCGTATGTTCACACTAGCGCGAGTCTACTGTATTTAAGTATACCAACATAGATACCCTTTTTGCCAAAATACTTATGTTATTATCAGAATCGTTTATCTGAAAAAAATATTTTAAATAAAAAAAAGCATGGCCACACCATTCAGAATTCTTATTATTGAACCCTTTTTTCGTTCGGATGCCAGAAATACCAATAGCTTCCTTACAAGGAATATAGTGTGAGACTTCCACACATGTGCAAGAATCTCTACAAGAAATGAGGGCAGATCTTACCAGAGATTTCAAATCACAGACAACTACCATGGTCGTGAGTTAAACATTTTGAACAGTAGTAGTTTTGGAAAGCACAAATTTGCAAGACCAGAATGGTGATATCCCAGTAAAAACACGACACAATAACCAGATTGATTCGATAGTTTCATCGGTGTCAACCGATTACTATTGTTGGAATCATCACTACTATATCTTGAAATTGCCATATCGGTTCCAGGAAATATGCTCTTTTGAACCGCAGATCAATAAGGGACTAAAAATATGCTCTCATGCTTCAAAGATAGACAAAATATTGTCTGAGTTTGTATGGCAACAAATTTTAAACATAATTTCTCTGGTTAATTGAAATAAATGAACTTTGGCCTGCAGTGAATTGTTTTTGAATGTATCTTCATCTTGCATCGGCGTAGTTTACTTTTCCGAGGCATTGGTTTCCTCCTGAGTTAGCCCGGATGACTTCTTCACCTCGTAGACTGGCGGATATTGGCTTTTAAAAAGCATCAACTTATACCGTCCCAGACTTTAGTCGAGGGTCACCAGGGCTTACCCTATAGAGAGGGTATTGGAAAAGTAATTTTTATTGAAACCAGAAAATACTATATTTGTTCCAATATAGCATAATATTTCTGATAAAATGCAGTGAATGGACTTCGGCCCACATTAAATTATTTTTGTATGGATCTCTGTTTCATCAGCGCAGTGTATTTCTTCCACGTAATGGTCTACTCTTGAATTAACCCGGATGACTTCTTCACCTCGTAGACTGGCGTATATTGGCTTTTAAAGAGCATCAACTTATACCATCCCAGAATTTAGTCGAGGGTCACCAGGGCTTACCCTACAGAGAGGGTATTGGAAATCGCAATTTTTATTGAAACCAGAGAATACTATGCTTGTTCAAATATACCATAATAATTCTGATTAAATACAGTGAGTGGACTTCGGCTCCCATCAAATTATTTTTTTATGTATCTCTGTTTTATCAGCACAGTGTATTTCTTTCAGGTATTGGTCTACTTTTGAATTAACCCGGATGACTTTTTCACCTCGTAGACTAAGGGATATTGGCTTTTGGAAAGCAACAACTCATACCGTCCCAGCCTTTAGTCGAGGGTCACCAGGGCTTACCCTACAAAAAGGGATATTTGGAAGGTAGACTTTCGAAAAACCAGAGAAAATTATATTTTTGAAAATATAGAAGTAAATTGCCAGAATATGAGCATATAGGAAGCTGCATTGAACATATGTTTAAATCTGTCACACACCTGATATTCTGATGTGCTTTTCAAACAGTAAGAATGTGGAAATATTCTTCTGATGGTAATCAAAAATACTACTTTTTCTTATTGTTTACCAGAGAAGAGTTGAATGGCAAAGATGACAACATATTTAGGTATACTAACATAAATACCCTTTTTGCTAAAATACTTATGTTATTATCAGCATCGTTTATCTGAAAAAAATTCTTCAAATCAAGAAAAGCATGGCCACACTATTCAGAATTCTTATTATTGAACCCTTTTTTCGTTCGGATGCCAGAAATACCAATAGCTTTCTTACAAGGAATATAGTGTGAGACTTCCACACATGTGCAAGAATCTCTACAAGAAATGAGGGCAGATCTTACCAGAGATTTCAAATCACAGACAACTACCATGGTCGTGAGTTAAACATCTTGAAGAGTAGTAGTTTTGGAAAGCACAAATTTGCAAGACCAGAATGGTGATATCCCAGTAAAAACACGACACAATAACCAGATTGATTCGATAGTTTTACTATTGTTGGAATCATCACTACTATATCTTTAAATTGCCATATCGGTTCCAGGAAATATGCTCTTTTGAACCGCAGATCAATAAGGGACTAAAAATATGCTCTCATGCTTCAAAGATAGACAAAATATTGTCTGAGTTTGTATGGCAACAAATTTTAAACATAATTTCTCTGGTTAATTGAAATAAATGAACTTTGGCCTGCAGTAAATTGTTTTTGAATGTATCTTCATCTTGCATCGGCGCAGTTTACTTTTCCGAGGCATTGGTTTCCTCCTGAGTTAGCCCGGATGACTTCTTCACCTCGTAGACTGGCGGATATTGGCTTTTAAAAAGCATCAACTTATACCGTCCCAGACTTTAGTCGAGGGTCACCATGGCTTACCCTATAGAGAGGGTATTGGAAAAAGTAATTTTTATTGAAACCAGAAAATACTATATTTGTTCCAATATACCATAATATTTCTGATTAAATGCAGTGAATGGACTTCGGCCCACATTAAATTATTTTTGTATGTATCTCTGTTTCATCAGCGCAGTGTATTTCTTCCACGTAATGGTCTACTCTTGAATTAACCCGGATGACTTCTTCACCTCGTAGACTGGCGGATATTGGCTTTTAAAGAGCATCAACTTATACCATCCCAGAATTTAGTCGAGGGTCACCAGGGCTTACCCTACAGAGAGGGTATTGGAAATCGCAGTTTTTATTGAAACCAGAGAATACTATGCTTGTTCAAATATACCATAATAATTCTGATTAAATACAGTGAGTGGACTTCGGCTCCCATCAAATTATTTTTGTATGTATCTCTGTTTTATCAGCGCAGTGTATTTCTTTCAGGTATTGGTCTACTTTTGAATTAACCTGGATGACTTTTTCACCTCGTAGACTAAGGGATATTGGCTTTTGGAAAGCAACAACTCATACCGTCCCAGCCTTTAGTCGAGGGTCACCAGGGCTTACCCTACAAAAAGGGATATTTGGAAGGTAGATTTTCGAAAAACCAGAGAAAATTATATTTTTGAAAATATAGAAGTAAATTGCCAGAATATGAGCATATAGGAAGCTGCATTGAACATATGTTTAAATCTGTCACACACCTGATATTCTGATGTGCTTTTCAAACAGTAAGAATGTGGAAATATTCTTCTGATGGTAATCAAAAATACTACTTTTTCTTATTGTTTACCAGCGAAGAGTTGAATGGCAAAGACAACATATTTAGGTATACTAACATAAATACCCTTTTTGCTAAAATACTTATGTTATTATCAGCATCGTTTTTCTGAAAAAAATTCTTCAAACCAAGAAAAGCATGGCCACACTATTCAGAATTCTTATTATTGAACCCTTTTTTCGTTCGGATGCCAGAAATACCAATAGCTTTCTAACAAGGAATATAGTGTGAGACTTCCACATCTGCAAGAATCTCTACAAGAAATGAGGACAGATCTTACGAGAGATTTCAAATCACAGACAACTACTACAAAAAAGTTTCAAAACAATTGAAATTCAAAAATATTCTGCTAATTTGTGGAGGATTCTAAGAAATCCATAGGTCCCAAGCTGAAAAATTTAAAGAAAAAGTCACATGCAACTATATCCTTTCAGTAGCCCAATTTCTGATAACTACCTACTTTGAAAAAAAAAAAGATCAAGTCCCTTTCAAACTATGCCTCCCAATCTTATTGCAAAAGTATATGGACCTGTTTCTCAAAAACTTATTTTTCCAAAAATTCCTCAAAGTAGACAAAAATTGGATTTACTGAAAGCTATAGTTGTTTTTTTTTTCTCAATTCTTTAATAAATCATGTCCTACAAATGCAAAGCTGCAAGAAATATTTCCACATTGAAATATCATATAGAATGCTTTAAATTGGCAACACTAATCAATTAAGTTTATTGAAAATTCACAGTGCCTAATCACTTTCTGTATCATCATAATTAGTAAATGTTGGAAAGCAAATCATTTATCTATTTATTTAAATCTATCATCATTTTAATATTTGTGCATAGGAATAGAGTATAGTGTTGTTTTTCCTATATGGAAGACATATTATCTTGTAGAATATATTTTCAATTTGAGATGAAATGAATTAAATATCAATTTTTTATTTATTATTGAGGATCAAGCAAAACTGAAAAAAAAAACGGAAAAAACCCCAAAGGCATGAAATAATTGAACAAATTTTAACGATAGTATGATGACATGCACGTATTTAATTCTCTATTCAGCGGCCATGGCTTCGGTGCCCTGCTACGGCTGTGGTTTATCAACGAATAATCCCAATCTGTCGAAGACTAGTTTTCTTGGCTGAAATTTTCAACTTTTGGGGGTTGTCTGAGCTGTCTGTCCTGAAAATAGAAGTTATTATTACATGACATTATATTTATTGGGCTCACAGATAAAATGAAAATCGTTAAGAATTGTTGAAAAATGAAAAATGCTGTATTCAAAAATATGTACAATATTGGTTGTGATATTCACATTCAATTGTCTTCCATAGGTTCTATTCGGCTCAAAAAAAAAATCTCCACCTCACTGGCATATGAGTGCGAAAATGGCGCTTGGGACATAGTGTTTCTAACTTTAAATCCGATTCAAGCTTTTCAATTTCCATCTTAAAGCACAGTTCAAATCTAGGTTTGAATAGGTACATACCAGATCCACCGACTCCGAACAACCCAACAACTAACGCCCCAGCAGTCCTAACCAGTTATGAAAGAGCTAAGTTGAAATTAAACAACCATTTTTCACCTAAGGTAAATGTAGAATTTGAAATGTACCATTTTCGTTAAGTAAACAAATTAAAGTGTGGATATATGAATGAATATTATGCAAAATTTTTAAAACTAAGCTCTAATTGTGGTTTTGCTGATAGAAACAGAGGGATCAAATCTCAAATAATACAACGAACATCATGTTCAAAGTTAAGATGTTATGCGATGACAGATAAACCAACTTTAGCCCAACTTCTTGCCCAAGCAAAAGTTTATGAAGTCACCGAAGTTCAAGTCCATCAAATCGATTTTCCATTTGAGAAAGTGAACAAAATCAGTCATAAATATGCAACAAACAATCCACATAGCAACAACAATAACAGTAAACTAAAAAATAATTGTCGTGATCTGGGTAACAGCCAACCGATCATCCAACAATTCGATAACAAAAAGTGCAAGAACTGTGGCAACAAGTGGCATCAAGAAGGTAGGAGTTCATGACCAGCTTTGAACATACTATGTCATTTTTGTTCAAATCAAGGACATTTTGCAAAAGTTTGCATCCAGCAACAGAATCTCAGCAGGTCACAACAAGTTTACAATGATGCAGATTTACAAACGAGAAGGAGAGACATAGGTGAAAGAAACCAACAAGAAGGTAACCAAGTAAATGTAAACTCAATGCTAAACTATACCAACTATGATGAAAACAACAGCTATGATTGTTCATTTCATCCTAATAACATAACAAACAACATTACCCATCTACCGAGAGTTACAATCAATGTAAATAACAAAAAGTTAAACTTTATAATTGACACTGGAACATCTGTCAACGTAATTAGTGAAAAAACACACCAAACGATGTTCAATGATGAAAATTTAATTCCTGACAACAGCAAAATTCTTCCCTATGGTCAATCTGCAAATTTGGAAGTATATGGAAAAATACCAGTTGTTCTATCTCACAAAAACAAAAGCATCAAGTCAGACATAGTTGTAATAAAGGGAGATTCTGAATCCTTGTTGAGTTATCAAGATTCCAAAGATCTCAATGTTGTCCTATTTACCAGCTATGTTGAGAGTTATTCAGACAATAATTTCATTGAAAACACTACCCAAACTTAACAAAGGGAGTAGGGAATCTGAATGATATTAAAATCAAATTACATATCAACCCAAATATTCGGCCCGTAGCTAATAGCTACCAAACATAGCAGGATTTTATTCCATCTAAGAAATAAAGTGGAATTGGAGCTTTCACGATTGAAACAACAGGGTATTATTGAGCAAGCGACAGGATCAACACCATAAATGTCACAATTGTCATTGTAGCAAAACAGAAAAATCCAGAACAACTGAGAATATGTGTCGACATGAGGAATGCGAACAAAGCAATCATAAGGGAACGCCATTTGACCCCAACAATCGATGAAATAATCACTCAACTTAACGGTTCAATATTATTCAGCAAGATTGATCTTGCAGATAGATATCATCAACTTACATTATCCGAAGAATCTAGATATATCACCACATTTTCAGCACACATTGGTTTATTTCGCTACAAAAGACTCAGCTTTGGAATTAATTCAGCCGCAGGGATTTTCCAAAACACCGTAAGCAAATTCCTGCAAAACATTCAAAATGTGATCAATATGAGTGACGACATACTCATTTTTGCAAAAACCAAACATACTACAGAAAGTGCTCAAAACTCTCCAGAGCAACAACCTAACGATAAATAAGAACAAATTCATCTCCAGTGTGTCTCGTATCAAGTTTTATGTTTTTTGTGATGAAGGCATTATACATCCCGATCCTAGCAAAGTAAGCAGCATCTTAAACCTTAAAAGACCTGCGAATGCAGCAGAAGTCCGTTCTTTTCTTGGAATGATAGGAAACGTAGGTAAATTTTTGCACAGATTGACTGAAAATGCTGAAATTCTACGACAAACACAAAAAGATACAGTTTTTAATTGGACCAAACAACACGAAGACATTTTTAACTTGTTGAAACAACAGCCAAGCAACAGCAAACATTTTGCTTATTTTGACATTAACAAAACGACATCTTTATGTAGATGGGGGACTTTGAAGGGAAAAGACATATTGTAGCCTATGCCAGCATGACACTTTCATCAGTACAAAGGAGATATAGTCAGTTTGAAAAAGAAACTCTAGAATGTACATGGTCGATCCAGCATTTCCATAACTACATATTTGGTTCAGAATTTATTCTACACTGCGACAACTTAGCATTAGTCAAAATTTTCGAAAGCATTAGGTTAGCTCTCAACGCCAGGAAAGAAAGACTACTTCTAAAAGTTCAAGCATACAATTTTCAAATTACACACCAAAAAGACATTTCCAATCCTTCTGATTATTTATCGAGCATCCCAGAACAAACAATCGAACCACATCCCGAACATGACAAAATTGAATAATTGAACAATTTCCGTATAAGTAACACCTTACCAAAAGCTATTTCTTTAGAAGAAGTTCAAGAAGCTAACAGCAAAGTCAAAACATTACAAATGCTAGCTGAAGCCATCTCAAACAGAAATGAAATATATTGGAAATTGCATGAATTAAAACAATATTTACAACTAAAAAACGAATTTATATCGGCAATAAAGTCATTTTATCTACGACCTGCAAAATAAGTGAGTATTATGTCACTAATTTTTGCTCATTTGCGTTATGTAATGAGCCCTATCACCGCACTAGTGTAATAGTGACTCGATCTACGACCTCGTCGTGGCAATATTCCCAACTCGTCACTTTAATGAATCTTATACCGTACTAGTAATATAAATAACTATTACGGGATCACAGAATCGTTTTACCAAGTTCATTACAACAAAGAGCAATAGAGATGGCCCATAAAAGGACATTTGGGCATAACAAACAGAAAACAGCTTTTTAGAACAAAAATTTGGATGCTATGACTGAGCTTCACATCGAAACTGTTTACCTTGTTAAGAGGGGCGTCAGATAAGGGCCAGCACGCCATCTTTTGGGCTTCATGACATACATTATAGTTATTTATGTATCAAGGGTACTAAGTAGATGATTATGCCCTGAGGGCGACAGTCTTACAAAGCCGGGGGCCTATGGCCCGAGGGTTCGTAAGTCGCCCGAGGATATATATCTATTAGTATCCGTGGTGCATACAAACTTTTATGTCATACCAGTTGGTTGTGAATAATAAATACCTGGGAAAAAAATGTCACTTCGCAAATTGTCATCAGTGTGCAGAATCATCATTTTTTGACAAAAATAATATGTTTATAAGCGTAAATTTATATTTTGTTAATACAGAATAAGTTAATTGAAAACTGTTTTTTGCATCTTTATGCCCGCGCGGGCCATAATGTGTACTTTATGCCCGCTCGGGCATAAACTAATGAATTATGTAGATGGTATCTAAGGTATAAAAACACAATAATGTATTGGTATGACATAAAATAATTTTTAATCACAGGTGTGCACATTCCCTGTAAGTGATTGACCTATTTACAAGTCGATGGCGACATCTTCAATATCAATTCGTTCACACAGTAATATACAGTGGACTAAATAATTTTATTCAGATGCAAATGAAATAATAGTATTTCACATTATTAGCAAGGTTAAACAGTTCTTACTGGCGTTTGAAAGAAGTTATTATGCTTCCCGAACTCAGCGACATCTTCAAGAGAAGCTCTGAACACACGTTTGGTTTGAGTCTCTGCTGAAAATGAAAGCAATCACAAACTTATAAATTAACGGAAATTCTGTTCTTTTCATTTATTCCAGCATTTTATAATCCGAAATTTTGGAAATTTTTTGTTGGTGTGCTACTCTATCTGTTTATCCCATTTTCATTTAAATCAGTGACCAAAATTTGCATACTGTTGTCAACAAAGTGGTAATAATTTTACTATTCAGACTGCGAATTTTGCAACCAAAAATGCTCCGAACGATACTCCAATCTATTGTTGTTATGAACATACCTTCATTTCACTGAAAAGTGGCCTAAATTTGGAATTGAACAGAAATTTGTGAAGGTCTGTAAATGACATTTTATTTAAACGCCCCTCTTAAGCAGTCCCTAAGAACAAACATCGAGACCCAATTATTTCAAGTTTAATACCAATTTATCCATTTCAATGGATTGACATTGATTATGCAGGGCCGTTTCATCAGAGCAAATATATTTTGATAGCAGCAATAATTGAGGTTGTAAACTCCACTTCATTTACAGCACTGAAACCTGTTCTTGGCAAGATATTTGCTACTTGGGACGTTTTCCAGAATCTATGAAGTCAAATAATAATGGACCACCATTCACTGGTCAAGAATTTTCCAGATGCCTGCAAAATTATGGCGTGAAGCATATCAGAATAACACCAGCCACCAACGGAATGGCCGAAAGATTTCTTTGTTGTGCTCTCACACTGAAACTGGTCATTTTGACTTAAAATACAGGAATTTTTGATCAAGTACAGAAGTACATCACACTCAACAACTGAAAATTCACCCTTTGAGATCACTTTTAACTCCTTATTTTGATCCAAGGCCATTGGAAATTGTGCAGATCATGGGTACAGCAATAAAAGCAATGAGAGACAACTATTTCATAACTCGAAATGCATCACTTTTCAAAAAATTTATTAGTTCTTCGGATTAGCAAGTGACTAGAAAGCAAGAGGTTACTCCACAACAGCCTCAAACTCAGGGACAAGTCAAGACCACCACATTTTATTGGAAGTTGGTCGAAGATCATCCAACTCAGCTCGTGCCTTCACTTCCATCAACACCCGTTTCTGAATTTAGCCAGGCCGAAGACAGCAAAACTTAGCAGTGATGTAGCAGATGAGCCAGATGACCCACTCAGGTATATTTCCACATTGTTTGATGATTCTCAGAACATCATTGATGTGTCATTTCAATCAAGTAGTGATTCCGAAGGCTATGATGAAGAGTTTTTTGACTCTGAGTTAGACTCCTGGTCAGAGGAAGCTGCAAATTCTAAGGTGAGACCGATGAGAGAGAATAAAATTCCTGAAAGGCTTAAAGATTTTATTCTAGAATAATTTTTCTGCTTATTTCTTTTCGAATTATTCAGTTTGTAGTAATTTTGGTAACTACTAATTTTGAAGTTATTTGAATTTATTGAAAAACATACCCAGACCAGATAGAGGAAAATTGACTTAGATGTTATGAAATTGATTTTCGAGAAACGTCGGTCGTCAAAAACTGTATCCCGATATCTTCAATGGTATCATTAATACAGGGCGATTTTCGATTTTCCGCTATCATGAAAAATAGCTGTAAGTTTTTTGTTTATCAATTTTATTTATTTCTGTGAAAACATCTTGGGATACTTTTTTGAGCACAATCCAGTGGCGTACTCAGTTTTTTTTCTATTTCGCTCCCATTTTGAGATATTGACCAAAGTCCGATTTTTTTAAATAGGATACCCCGAGGGATACCCTATATGTTAATAGCTCATTGGATAGCTCTGCTTTTGCTGATTTTAATGATATGAAGTACGATAGGTTTATGTCTAACAGTTTCCGAGGAAAAAAAATATATCTGTTTGTCATAAGAAACAATGTGTTAGAAAGAGACCTTCCTCATTTTCCTTACAGATATAAAATCCTTTTCTAACACATTGGTCTTTATGACAAAAACAGATATAATTTTTTTTCTCGAAAACTGTTAGAGATAAACCTATCGAACTTTATATCATTGAAATCAGCAAAAACAGAGCTATCCAATGAGCTATCAATATATGGAGTGTTTTATTTAAAAATATCGGACTTTGGTCGATATCTCGAAATCGAACTTGTTGTGCTCAAGAAAGTATCCCCAAAATGTTTTTTACAGAAATAAAAAAAAATTATAAATAAATAACTTATAGCTATTTTTCATAAAAGGGGAAAATTGAAAATCGCCCTCTATCAATGGTACTATTGAGATATCGTGATACGGTTTTTGACAATCGACGTTTCTCGAAAATCGATCCCATAACATCTGCGTCAATTTTCCTCTATCTGGTCTGGAAGTATGTTTTTCCTGTTGAAACACTCCAAATTGCAGCACCCTGTTCAAAAAACAGTACATGTATCCAAGTGACGACTTGTATCGCGAAACTGGTTTGTTAGACCAAGACAGTTATATTCCCAACAGTTAGCCGTACTTCAATATAATTCATCGGTTCAATTTTCGAAATCAACTCATTTAAGGTATTTGAAAATGCGCTTCAAGAATGGGTATTCAATAAACCCCGTAAATTTTATCGACAGTTTTTCACAGGAATTTTTAGATTAGATAACAATTATTACATAATATCCTAAAAATTCTTCCCTTTTTGTTTAGGTTTCTTTTTTTTTTAAGGTTGCCTTTGCACTAAAACTGTAGAATTTCAGAAAGTTCAATTAGGGTGACTCATTCTATAATAAGTTCTTTATAATATTCGTTGTACTTAGTTTTTTTGTTGCTTTAATTTGTGAATCTTTTGAGGGTGCATGTTTAGTATTTTTAATACCCATTTAGAATAACCTCATCTTTATTTATCAATCACGAATCAGTTCAAATAAAAAATTGCCAACAAAAACGAATGTCGATTGCTCATACGTCAAATTCATGTACAAATAGGAAACTCCTAACCTAATTTTATTTGTGTTTTCGAGAAGCGACATACGTTTAGTCACTAGAACGACTGGTACTTCTAAATAGGTATTAAAAATTCTTTATACCCTCGCACAAGTTTTCTTTTGTGGATTTTGAGGTTTGTTTGTGCATGTCCTGAAGAGTAAAAGAGAAGAAAGAGTATATAATTTATGGATGGAAGAGTATATAATATATGGTAGAATATCATGAATAAACTTCTTGTATTGTATTGTATTTTACTTGTTAAGGGTAGTTTTCCATGTTTCGACGGGGTTTGAGTCAATGGGATTTTGCATGGGGGTTGGAACTGGTGTAAAAGAATAGTACTCTATTAATGTCATGGCAAGACTCGAAGTGCGAGTTGGAGAAAAATACGAAAATTTGAATATTTCTGCATTTTTACTTGTTAAGGGTAGTTTTTCGTACTTTGACGGGGTTTGAGTCAATGGGATTTCGCATGGAGGTTGGAAATGGTGTTAGAATAGTACCCTATTAATTTCATGGCAAGACTCGAAGTCCGAGTTGGCAAAAAATACCAAACTCTGAATATGCATTTTAACTTATTTAGGGTAGTTTTTCATGTTTCGAAGAGGTTTGAAACAATGGGATTTCGCAGGGGGGTTGGAACTGGTGTAAAAGAATAGTACCCTATCAATTTCATGGCAAGACTCGAAGTCCGAGTTGGAAAAAAAAAACGAAAATCTGAATATTTCTGCATTTTTGCTTGTTACCGGTGGTTTTTCGTACTTCGAAGGGGTTTGAGTCAATGGGATTTTGTACGGGGGTTGGAAATGATGTTAGATTAGTACCCTATTAATTTTATGGCAAGAGTCGAATTCTGAGTTGGGAAAAAATACAATAATCACAATATCTAGGCATTTTTATTTATTGAGGGCAGTTCTTCGTACTTCGACGAAGTTTGAGTCAATAGGATTCTGCATGGGAGTTGGAAATGGTGCGAGAATAGTACTCTATTAATTTCATGGCAAGACTCGAAAACCGAGTTGGAAGAAAATACGAAAATCTGAATATTTATGCATTTTTATTTAATAAGGGTAGTTTTTCATGCTTCGACGGAGTTTGAGTCAATGGGATTTTGCATGGGGGTTGGAAATAGTGTAAAAGAATAGTACCTTATCAATTTCATGGCAAGACTCGAATTCCGAATTGGAGAAAAATACGGAAATCTGAATATTTCTGCATTTTTTACTTGTTAAGGGTAGTTTTTCATGTTTCGACGAGGTTTAAAACAATGGGATTTCATAGGGGGGTTGGAACTGGTGTAAAAGAATAGTACCTTATAAATTTTATGGCGAGACTCGAAGTCCGAGTTGGAAAAAAAAAACGAAAATCTTAATATTTATGTATTTTCACTCTGTAAGGGTAGTTTTTCATGTTTCGATAGGGTTTGAGACAATGAAATTATGTATGGGGGTTGGAAATGATGTTGAAATAGTACTTTATTAATTTCACGGTAAGATTCGAAGTCAGTGTTGGAAAAAAATACAAAAATCTCAATATTTAGGCATTTTTATTTGTTGGGGAAGTTTTTCCTACTTCGACGGGGTTTGAGTCAATGGGATTTTGCGAGGGGGTTGGAACTGCTGTAAAATAATAGTAAGTACCCTATCGATTTCATGGCAAGACTCGAAGTCCGAGTTGGAAAAAAAAAAACGAAAATCTGAATATTTCTGCATTTTTACTTGTTACCGGTGATTTTTCGTACTTCGACGGGGTTTGAGTCAATGGAATTTTGTATGGGGGTTGGAAATGATGTTAGATTAGTACCCTAATAATTTTATGGCAAGACTCGAACTCTGAGTTGGGAAAAAATACAATAATCACAATATTTAGGCATTTTTATCTGTTCAGGGTAGTTCTTCGTACTTCGACGGGGTTTGAGTCAATGAGATTCTGCATGGGAGTTGGAAATGGTGCTAGAATAGTACTCTATTAATTTCATGGTAAGGCTCGAAGTTCGAGTTGGAAGAAAATACGAAAATCTGAATATTTATGCATTTTTACTTATTAAGGGTAGTTTTTCATGTTTCGACGGGGTTCGAGTCAATGGGATTTTGCATGTGGGTTGGAACTAGTGTAAAAGAATAGTACCGTATCAATTTCATGGCAAGACTCGAAGTCCGAATTGGAGAAAAATACGAAAATCTGAATATTTCTGCATTTTTACTTATTAAGGGTAATTTTTCGTACTTCGACGGGGTTGAGTCAACGGGATTTCGCATGGAAATTGGAAATGGTGTTAGAATATTAACCTAGTAATTTTATGGCAAGACTCGAAGTCCGAGTTGGAAACACATACGAAAATCTGAATAATAATGCATTTTTACTTGGTAAGGATAGTTTCTCATGTTTCGACGGGATTTGAGTCAATGGGATTTCGCATGGAGGTTGGAAATGGTGTTGGAATAGTATCCTAATAATTTCATGGTGGGACTCGAAGTCCGAGTTGGAAAGACATACGAAAAATCTGAATATTAATGCATTTTTACTTGTTCAACGGTAGTTTTTTTATATTTCGATGAAGTTTGAGTCGAAGGAATTTTGCACAGGGATTGGAAATGGTGTTAGAATATTACCCTATTAATTTCATGGCAACACTCGAAGTCCAAGTTGGCAAATAATAATAGAATCTAAATTTATATGCATTTTTACTTGTTAAGGGTAGTTTTTCATGTTTCGACGGGGTTTGAGTCAACGGCGTTTCGCATTGGGATTGGAAATGATATATGTTGAAATAGTACTCTATCAATTTCACGGCAAGACTCGAAGTCAGTGTTAGAAAAAATACAAAAACCTCAATATTTAGGCATTTTTATTTGTTGAGGGTAGTTTCTCCTACTTCGACGGGATTTGAGTCGATGGGATTTTGCATGGGGGTTGGAAATGGTGTTAGAATATTACCCTATTAGTTTCATGGCAGGACTCGATGTCCGAGTTGGCAAAAAAATACTAAAATCTGAATATTTATGCATTTTTATTTGTTAAGGGTAGTTTTTCATGTTTCGACGGGGTTTAAATCAATGGGATTTCGCATGGGGCTTGGAAATGATATTGAAATAGTACTTTAATAATTTCATGGCAATACTTGAAGTCCGTGTTGGAAAAAAATAAATCTCAATATTTAGGCGTTTTTATTTTTTGAGGGTAGTTTTTCGTACTTCGACGGGGTTTGAGTCAATGGGATTTTGCATAGGGGTTGGAAATGGCGTTAGAATAGTACCCTATCGAGTCTTGCCATGATAGGCAAGACTCGAAGTACGAGTTGGAAAAATATACGAAAATATGAATAATGCATTTTTATTGTTAAGGGTACCTAGTTTTTCATATTTCTACGGAG